AATTAAAAGTCATCTTAAGATTTACAATAACAAGAAGCCCTGTGGGTGAAAATGGGGAAATCATCATTAATTTTTTCACCATACTCAACATGAGAGAGGAGGACATACTGGAAGAGAGCTCAATGAGTTAACACATGCGTGAGAACGCCAATTAACTTCCTCGATCTTATAGAAGTGTGAAAAGAAACCTCTCCAAACGAAGTCTATGGAAAGCCTTGATATTTATTCATCTTGAGTACCTATTTTTTCTCACACCTGAGAGAAGCCAGAAAGTAAGGAATATGAAAAAAAAGCCTCAGTGTTGCCTCAGACTCATAATTCATACAAGAACTCACACTGCAGAGACTGCTTGGGGAAAGTAAAACTGTGGAAAAGACCTCTTTAAACACTTATCCCTCCTGTTGCACAAGATTCCACGCCTGAGAGATCTATAAATGGGAATAAACATAAGAAAGTTTCAGTTCCAGCTCTTCACTTATTGAGCATGAATGAGCGCATAGTAGGACTGAAGCATTGTAAAACGTTAACAAAGGCTACATTATCATTGTCTTATCCTTCAAGTAGAACCCAAATTCATATGTTTCTAGTTTTTCCTTCTTTAACAAAATGGTATAAGGTGACAGACATCTGTCTTAGCACCCTTCTGCTCACAGGTTAATGCTATGTAGTAGCCAACAAATTCACTCACACATGGTTTCATTCTCAATGTGAAGCTCTATCTGAGCTCCATTCACTTTTAGATTTAGAACCATCTCCTCCATGATACCTTTTTTCAGTTTGTTTTTATTGTCAAGCACGACTGCATTATGGTCACATTGTGGTTTAATGGTTCGATCTGGTGTACCTGTTATGACTTTCATTTTGGTGTAATGGGGCCAATTCTGTCCATTTCCCTGCTATACCCATTATTCTCTTCTTCTTCACTAAGGGAACATAGAACTTTTTACAAGGAGCACTGTTGAAATGCCTTTATTTATGTCAAGTATCCTTATTTTATTATTTAATTTAATTTCTTTTTTTTTTTTTGAAAATGGTCTCTACCTCTGTCTCCCAGGCTGGAGTGCAGTGGAAGGGATCAGAGCTCACTACAGGCTTGAACTCCTGGGCCTCGTGATCTCCCAGCTCAGACTCCTGAAAAGGTAGGGAGGCAGGCATAACAGGTGTGCACCACCACGCCAAATTTTTGTTTGTTTTTGTAGAGACCGAGTCCTCATGTTGCCTGGACTGGTTTCAAATTCCTGGGCTCAAGTGATTCTCCCACCTTGGCCTCCCAAATTGCTGGAATTACAGACATGAGCCACCATGCCTGGCCTTGATTAATGTCTTTAAAATGAGTTTCCAGTTTTTCTCATAACTGCAGTGAGCAGAGCTTATAATCCTGACCAATGTGAAATGCAGAATTCACTGGTTTGGATTTCTGAAAATCTGTTTGGAAATGGGAGAGTTATTGTTACTCTTTTCTTTGTGAATCAAGTTCCCTTTGCTCTTTCTGCTCTCGCTGCTCTCTGGAAATAGGATGAAATGCCCAGAGTCAGGTTAAGCAACTTGAAGACCTCTTTGGAATGATGGTCCCAACAACAAACCTTCAATATACTTAGATTTCACCCCCCAAAGGCATGCTGGGTATCCATGGCTGCCCGGACTCTCTCTGGACTTGTTTGATGAAACTAAGACTTAATAGAACTAGGAAACATTTTAGGAGTGATAGTTATAACATTGAATGATAAACCTAAAAATGAATAAAACAAAAATACAAAACAAAGAGACTAGACAAATGGCCTTACAGATGCTGATTGGCCACAAATGCTTGGTCATCTCATGGATGCCTCTACCTACTGTGATGCTTCTGGAGGGCTGCAGCCATCACTCAAGAACAGAACACAGTGGCTTCTACTGCAGCATCAGGGAGCAAAAACTAAGCCTGTCAGTTTCTCAAGACACATACTTATGTATGTGTGTGCATGTGTGTGTGTATATATGTGTGTGTGTGTGTGTATGTGTGTGTATATATATACACACACACGTGTGAGATAAATTTTTTCAGTGACTTTAACATATCTCATGCTAAACCGATACAATGAATTAAAACTAGTGCAAATTTCTTACAATAGAACATTATCTCCCCATTACTTATCCAGGGCATTGAAAATTGGCCCACATCACAGATCCTTAAGTCATTCTCCGAATCACAGAGGGAGAAAGAGGAGAACAGAGAGAACTCCATGTATGTTCCATTCACAGGGCTGAGTGCTGTGTCTACATGATCCCTCTTGGTGCTTGCCATAACCCTGCAAGAGAAAAGTAAAAACTCAAACACACACTCACACACGCAGACATACACACGCACATGCTCAAACACAAACTAGAAACTACAGAACAAAGAAAGCATTGACAACTAACAGAAGTATAGTGCTACAAGCAAAGTGGCTCATGCCTATAATCTTAGCACTCTTAACAGAGTCAAGACAAACCTGGGCAACATAGGAAGACACCATCTCCACAAAATACTTCTGGACAAGCACTCATTTAAAAGAGGTAGAATGTCAAGGGGTCAGGAATACTCCCATGGCTGCGTAGTAAGCAGCAGGCAAAGTTGCTTGTCAGAACAAAGGCAGAGCATTCCAGGCTTCCTTTGCACACTTGTTGACACTATGAGTCAAGAAACTCTGCCTGGTCACTTACACCTCCATTGGCTCTAAAGCTCTGGCAGGTGGGACCTGCACAAGAGAAAGTGACATTGCGCAGGACTCTCTTGATCGATGTGATGGAAACCTAACTCGATCCAGCAGAACATTGAATTAATTTGCTCTAATTACTAAAAATGTCCATGAGTGCAGATGGGCTTCTCTGGCCTCGTGGATCAGGGGTCACCTAACATCAACCAAGTCCTCTTCATTTCCACACGGCTCTTGCTTTCAGGCAGGCTATTTTGAGAGGGCAGCAGACGGCCCCATAAATTCCCATATCACTTACTTCTTGAAACATGTGCTGTAAAGAAAGCACCTCTATTCCGGAAGTGAAACATCAAAAGTGCAGGGACACTCTTATAGCCCAGTTTGACTTACACGCCTGTTCTGAATGAATACCTCATGGACTGACTGCCCAGGGTGGGTCAGCACCTCCCAAATCCCAAGGGCTAGTATTGAAAGAGTGGTCTCCTCCCATGCAAAATGGAAGGACAGTACCAGAGGAATATGTGCGGGAGGGCCTCATCTCTAGATGCGCATGAGTATATTTGTAGTTCTTGTACACTCATTTATATATCACTGGAAGAAAATGAGAAAAACACACACGAATTTCACAGGCCTCTGTGCTTTGTTTCCAACACTGAGCGTAATTTAATTATTGAAACAAAACTTTGAAAATAAACAACAATTTGGGACAATGGGGACAGTTAGTTGATGCAGCACAGGTGAGCAGTTCTTTTGTGCCCATGAGGACACAATTCCCAGGAGGCCGCCTGTGGTCTCCTAGGAGAAGTGTGTGGACACCCACAGGCTGCAGTTCCACCTTTTCCCTTCCCTGACCTCAGGAAGACAGGAGTTCTGGATTCAGCTGAACTGAGTTCAAGTTCAGGCTCTGCACCACTAGCTGTGTAATTCTGGGTAAATCACTTGCTCTTTTGTCCTACATCTTCCCTGGCAAAAAAGAAGAGGCATAGTAATTGTTGTGCCTTTGGAATGTGGTACAGGGTTAAAGAAAGACAGGAGAGAGTTACAGCTTCAACAGCAACTCCTTTATTGCCAGCAAACCCTGGGAGGATTAACCACAGTGCTGCACAACTGTCATTGCAGCTGTGTAATCTTTGGGACTGGGTATACACCAAGGTAGAGCCGCTGCCTGCAGGATATGGCAAGGATGTCTGCAGACAGACTGTGGAGCTTTGCCCAGGACGGTGGGATACGGATGTTTTGCAAAGGCAGACAGGAAGGGATGTTTGTATGGGCCCAAGTTCCCATGGAACGCTTCACTCTGACCAGGGTCTGCACATAATATGCCTACAACATGGTACAGGTTAGACTAACAGTAACATTCCCAGACAGTTCTACAAAGTAACTTCCCTGAGCATCTACACTCTACCAGACATGTACAGAGACCCAGTCACAGGAGGAAATTGGTGGACAGATGGGAGGTCCTCAAGCAATTCCGGTGCTCAAGTGTCTGATAAGTACAGGAAGCTAATAGGTTATAAGACCAGGTCAGATGTTAGTGGTAATGAAAGACATTACCAGAGTGAGATGAGCTAGAAAGAAACGGAAGGAGCTGTTCCAAACACAGTGACAGGTGGAGACCCCTCCAAAAGGTGACTTTTGAGCAGAAACCTGAGAAATGTGGAGGGGGCCATGGGGACATACCAGCCCCTGCAGCCACCCCAGGATTAAAGACTCAGCAGCAGGAGGGTAATGGAATGGCCTGAGCTGTGCGTCCTTCATGCTTCCTTCCTCAGTGGTGCAAGAACAGAAACATGGGGCAATTCCATGCTGCGTCCATGGAAGGAGCATGAAGCAGCCACACTGCAGAGCGGGGGTGGGGATAAAATCTGGCCCAACAGTAAAGGTAGAAGCAGGTGCTGCTGACCACTCACCACAACACAGGTCATGAAGCATAACCAGCCCCTGAAGGTGCGTCCAGGGTCAGGCCAGCTGGCCGGGGTGCCAGCATCTTAGTATTGATCCCAGGAGACAAGATGAGCTGGTTAGGGGGAAAAAACAAACAGGAAACTATCAGAACATTCCAGAGGACCCATGACACTTAGCATGAACTTCCAGAGCGGGATCTGTATGGCATTGCTGGTTCTAAAGAGTTGGCCCCACCATCCCTACCTGCCCGGTGCCCGACCAGGGGAAAACCTAGGGTAAGGTCCACAGAAACAACCCCTGTGGAAGGGGAAAGGGTGTTCTCATCCAAAACCAAGGGAGGAGACCCACGAAACTCCACTCATATGGAGCAGAGCGGCCTGCAGGGAGAAACAGGATTCTGCTGCTCATTTGGGTATCTGCTTCCCAGCAGGAAAGGGGACCATGCAGGATAGAGGGGCTAAGTGAATCCTGGGCTGTGGGGTTACGGGAGCCGGTGCTGACTCACTGTTGGAGGTGAGCCACAAGACGAGGCTTAGAACCCCTCCCTGCAGCCTCTCCAGTCTAATAAGGAGATTGTAGTGTGGTCGTGGCGGTATCCGGACACAGTTGAAGGTCACAAGGAGTGATACCTCCTCCGGCCTCCTCTCTCAGCTGTAGATTCTCCGAGTTCCTGGAACAGCTTCTCCGTGGCCCCACCAAAATGGAGAGTGGTGACAGCACCCAGAATATGCTAACCCCAGGACCCTGTGCCATACCACCTTGTTCCCTTGGCCCTGCCCAAACCTTTGTAAACAGCTTTTTCTTAATGACCCTTCAGTGGCTTCAAGGTCCTTGCCAGCACCTGACTGCCACATTCCCCAGAGGGACCAAGCTCCTCGGCACAGGAGCTGAGGTTTCTACAGGCACAGAGGAAACACTGTCCCAGCTGTTGGAATGGAGTCAGGAGTGGAAAACAGAATGCTTGTTCTCAACGCTCAGACTTACCAATTGTTTCATTTCATCACACCAAGGCTGTGTGGCATTTTGAAGCAGAACTAGTAATCTACATAATTACAAATTATGTTCTTAAGAGAAGCTGCTCAGTGCCATGCCTGACACAAGGTGAACCTCCATGAGGAGATGTGTGAGGAACCAGGGTGCCGTAGTTACAAACCAGGACTCCAGGTGCAGACTGCTTGGTTCAAACCTGGACCAGTGGAATGCATTTTCATAACTCTCTGTATTGCTCTTTGCCCCAGTTTTTCCATCTAACGACTAGAAGTAAAAACAAGGTTATTGTGAAAATTAAGTGAATTAAAGTAAGCGGAGAGGGCCTACAACACCCCCCACCCCCCGCCACACAGTCAGCACTGAGCATGTTTTTCTTCACTACTCTTAATGAGGTAAGAGTGAGTGCACAGGCACCAGCCATGAGCCTGGGCTTTCTATGGCATAGGCATCAGAGATCCCATTTTTGATGTCCTGCATACATTCTTTTGATGCTGATAAGGGAGGAGTCTCACGGGAGAGGAGCAAGCAACCACATTGGGGCCAGAAAACTCATGGTCAAAATTGAACTCCACCATTGTTCAGCTGGGTGACTCTGGGCAAGTGACTTTCCCTCTCTGATCCTCATGTTCCTTTTTGATAAAAACAGCACAATGGCAGGCCTAAGGGGATTGAAGGAGCGCACAGAAAAATGTGGGTCTTAGTTTGAATTTCCTGGAAGTAGATCCTGAGGCAAAGATTCAAATACAAAAACTTTATTTGGAGATGACTCTAGGACAGTAATTCGACTGCCAGTCCTTCCTCAGGGTGCGAATCTCAGGAAACACCGGTAGAGCCATGGGGAACAGAGACGGGAAAGGAATGCAGCAGTTAACGGGACCTTCATCAAGAAAGTTTCCACTGTGGCAGTCAGCACTGAGCCCTGCCAGGTACCTCCAAGAGACAGCATAGAACACGCGCCTCAGAGTCATCTCACCCAGAGCAAGGGAGCTGGGGTATTTATCCACTGATACCCACCAGTCAAACCTCAGGGATCCTTTCAAGGTCATGATTCCTGCAGAATGTCCTGCCTGCACTGCAAGGGTCAGACCTGAGGTTGAGCGCAGTGCCCCTGACAGCACCTCCAGCAATGAGCAGGAACACAGTGTGGTGTGGAGAGTTTCAGTGAGTCACTGACTCCAACACACACACACATACCTTCACACACCACACTCCAACACCAACACAGTGCATATGTATATACACATACATGCATACATGACTGTTGGCCACTTAGATCCTGGTGACTTCATGGGATAGATGATAAGGCAGGAATCAGAGGGAAGAGCAAAATTAAGGGGAGTGAATGTCTTAAGAACAAAATGCACATTTAGGCAGAAAATCAAGGGGGAAGAGGAGTGGTCTGGACACCAAATGCCTGCGGGTGGCACCTGCTCTACACACACTGTCACTAATTCTCTAAGCAGCCTCATGGGGTAGAAGAAATTCCCCTCAATTTACAGATGACAGAAATGTAGTTTAGAAAAGAAAACTGATTTTACCAATGTCTCAGCAAGTTAGTGGGTGAAGGTATGGACTCCCAGCTCTCTCTGTCCACAAAGCCTACAAATTCTCCCTTGTTAGGCAGGCTGGGTACCGGGCTCTGCTTCTGGACTCTGCTCCTTTTCCTGCTAGGCAATCATGGCAGAACTGGCAGAAACGTTATGCCCCTTCACCAACTGGAGCAGAGCCAATGAGGGGGGCTGGGGAACAGGCCATGAGGCCCTGCACCCTCCATTCATTGTCTTCAGGATTGCGATCCCTCAGAACTCTTGCACCACCACGTGGTGGCAGCACTCTCAGTGTCTGGGTGTCTTCTGAGGTTGTACAGGATGCAGTGGAGGCCACTGGCTGTGCTGTCATATCCTAAGTGGCAGCCACCCAGTCTTGGGCTTCTTGGCTGCTTCAGCACCAGAGGTTGGACAGTGCCCATGCACTGAGGCCCTCAGGAGAATGGGAGGGAAAGGAAATGCAGCATGGAGAGATGTAGGGTCCATCCACCATGTCCCTGGATGGAGAGATTCCTGTTCCCACAGTAGTCCACACCGGGACCACGATTGGTGCTCATAAACATGCCAGCCTCCTTTTATATTTCCTTGTCTGACAACTCCTTCCCATTTTCATCCTGGAGACAAGACTTCTGAACACACTAGCTCTGAGAGCACCTGAGACAGTCCCTGAAGACCTTTTATCCAAGCAGGATCCCTCCCTTGCCATCTCCAGACCTCCCCACAAGCTCCCTCCCTGGTCTCCTGGCTCTTGTTCATCCCTTCCAGGCAGCCTTCCACAATCATCTCTAAAACATATCTGACTCTCCCTCATTTAGCCGGCACTTTCCATGGCTCCCCAGAGCCCTCCAGATTAAGTTCAAATTCTTTGATCAGACACTTGATCTCAAGCTGCATTCCACCTCCTGAATTAAGAACCCCTAGAAGTCCAACTTGCTCAGCACAAATGAATCACTGAAGTCAAAAATCTTGAATGTGGCCTTGGCCTTGAGGAAGTCATCAACAGCCTGGCTAGTGAGGGTGCAGTGCTGCTCCAGGATGATGGTGTGTAAAGTTGTGCTCCAGGTCACAGGCCCTGAAGAAGCATCTCTCCTCAGGACTGGGTAATACAGGAAGTCTGTGCACAGGCAGATCTGCTGGTGCCGTTACACTATGCAGCTCCAAGATGGTGGCAATATACTTTCCGGGATTCCTGCAGGGTGAGGCTGGGGAGAGGAAGCAGTTCCATAACACATATGAAACCCTGGAAAGACTTCCCAGCCAGAATCTCAGGACCACATTACATCCAGAAATGGGTGCCCTCTGGGCACACTTCTCTCCCTACTACCCACTCTGAGCTGCCTCCTAGCCCCATATGCCACAGCCTGGCCCAGGGCTTGGAGCCCAGCGGGTGTTCAGTCCATGGTGTTGACTGCTCCCTGGGCCAGGAGAGCCCTTGGCAGCTGTGTGACTCCTCCTGTAGAGCCCCTGCCTCTACCATGGGACCTCCTGATTCCCACGGAAGCTCCCACGGCCCTGGATTGCTCTACCTGCCCTGGGATCCTCTAGCCCCATAGACCTTACTTGATGCCTTAGCCCTCCCAGAACATGACATGTTTCTCAGAATGTGGCTGATGTCCAGGGCCATCTGCGGATGTTTGCTGGGGGTCTCTTGCTGTTCTCCTTTATGGTCTGTAGGGCAGGGCCAAGAGGAGAAACCAGTCCAACATTCAGAATGGACAAAAAGCTCACTGCCACAACAGCAACCACCAGTCAGCAGTGCTTCCGGATGGAAAAGAGGTTTCATTCTGCAGAAAGCTCCTTGTTTGGCTTCTTTCGGAAGCCGGGGAGGTGTACCAAGCCCAGCTTAACTGTGATGCCTATGTTACCATCTGTTTCTAGGATGTGCGATGGGCCCCTGCGCCCACTGTAGGGTTGACGTTCCCTCCAGCTGGAGACCTGGGCTCCTGACCACCTGACCTGTTTGTCCTGCTCTGGATGACAATGGAAAGTCTGTGCCTGGTATTTCCCTAGGTTCTTGGTTTCTACTTTCTAGACATCCAGCAGCAGTGACCATACCTGTTCCCACTCCTGAAAGGGGACTCCCTTGTAGGGCAGCCGAGACATCTACAGATGGAAGACTGCTCAGTGAGACAGGCCACAGGGGTCCCCGGGGAGGATCAGGGGCTGGAGGATTCTGGAGGTTTCCAGCCTTGGGGTCTGTGGTTCCTCAAAGAGGTTAGGTCTACCTAGTACCAGGCCTGCCCTCCCATGATTCAAAGAGTGGATGATTGCTCAGCATCAAGAACTCTGATCTGGAACTAGTTTTTCATTTAGGTCACCAAGAGACAACCCCTAACCCCTGAGCAAGCCATGGTCCAAACTCTGGCATGAGATTCTCTTCCAGCAATGTGATGCTTACAGGGCCAGGTAGAAAAGTTGGTGACCAGGCCTTCTGTCCTCCAGCAAAGGACAGTGTGCCATCCACCCTAGAAAGGCAGGTGGTACCAGGCCACAGCACTTGGTGCCTATATCCCTGGCTCTGCAGACACTGGTCATGGAGGTCCTCCCCTCTTCACTTTACCTTCTTGCTGCTCCTAGATTTCCTCTAGTCACTAAACACTTCGAGCCATTTTTCTGTGCATCTGATCTGACATTTTTGCTCTCAGATGAAACACGATAAAGTAAGCCGAGCCACCAGGATTCCTGGAGGGAATCTTTGGGTTTTGGGCTCCATGGCCCTGAGGGGACTGAACCAGAAGGAGCCAGGGAAAGGCAAACACTGGGACTCAGGCCCTATGACCCAATGGCCATTGGTGGCTTGTCCTTATGGCCCCAAGACACTCTGTCCTCAGGCCACAGACACCATGGGGTATGGTCAGGTCTCAGCCTCCCAGTAGTGTCCTGGCACTAGCGGGTGCTGACCCTTGAGCCACAACCGCAGTTGTGGGTTTTGGGTTTGGTAAAAACACCTCAGGGACAGAGTTCTGGGGTTGACTTTGGCAGGAAACATGGCCCCTTCCAGGGATGATGTGTCACGCCTACTTGCCACGAAATGTGCACATAGGCTGTCCCTCTGCCCATGGCATCCTGCTGGAGAGGACGGAGGAAGTCAGGGAACAGGCAGGGTGGACAGCTGGGGTGCAGGGAGAGGCAGGTGCATGCTGGCAGGTCAGACCCTTCGAGGGCTGTGTGGGGGCATCAGGTGGAGTGGGCTCCAGGTTCACCCTCAGTGCACTGGGCAGGTCTCAGGACAGGCTTCCTGGACCCCACCCGGGTGATGTGGTCACTCCCTGGGGGACTGTTGTCAGGCCCCCAGCAAAGGACAGTGTGCCATCCACCCTTAGAAAGGCAGGTGGTACCAGGCCACAGCACTTGGTGCCTATATCCCTGGCTCTGCAGACACTGGTCATGGAGGTCCTCCCCTCTTCACTTTGGCTCTCTGCTGCCCTAGATTTCCCTCTTCTGTAGTCACTAAACACCAGCCATTTTTCTGTGCATCTGATCTGACATTTTTGCTCTCAGATGAAACACGATAAAGTAGTTTAGCCACCAGGATTCCTGAGGGAATTTTGGGTTTTGGGCTCCAGGCCCGGTGAGGGGACTGAAACCAGAAGGAGCCAGGTGGCAAACACTGGGACTCAGGCCCTGCCAAGTGACCCAATGGCCATTGCGGTTTGTCCTTATGGCCCCAAGACACTCTTTTGTCCCCAGGCCTGACACCATAGGCGTGGTCAGGTCTCAGCCTCCGTGCAGTGTCCTGGCACTCAGCGGGTGCTGACTTGAGCCATGCCAAACCGTGAGCTGTGGGCTTTGGGTTTGCAAAAACACCTCAGGGACAGAGTTCTGGGGTTGACTTTGGCAGGAAACAGGCTCCCTTCCAGGATGATGTGTCTACTGCTACGAAATGTGCACAGAGGGCTTGTCCTCTGCCCATGGCATCCTGCTGGAGAGGACGGAGTGGTGGAAGGCAGAGGCAGGGTGCATGGCTGGTGTGCAGGGAGAGGCATGCTGGCAGGTCTGGGACCTCTTCTGAGGGCTGTGTGGGGGCATCAGGTGGAGGGCTCCAGGTTCACCCTCAGTGCACTCCGGGCAGGTCTCAGGACAGCTTCCTGACCCCACTCCGGGTGATGTGGTCACTCCCTGGGGGACTGCCAAGTCAGGCCTGGTCACCCATCCTGGGCAGAACAACTCCCATCTCCAGACTGGACTTCCTGAGTCCTGAGACAGGAGAGTGCTGCCCAGGCCTGACACTAGGAGACCTGTTAAGTCCTCCATCCCTAGACCAGCCTCGCACACAGCAGGGCAGCCTCTTACCTTTACCTTCAGGGCACCTGACTGACCCATCTCATTCTAAGGCAACCAAGAGCTGGAGACCCTGTGCTGTGGCTGTGAGCCAGACCCTTCCCCAATGGCCTGAAGGAAGTACCATATATCTGTCCCACGCGCCACAAATTTCAGCCCAGGAGACATAGGGGAAGGGGAGGGCACCGCCCTCCTGCCTGGCTGGACACACCGGAAAGCTGGACCCCATGTGGAGACCAGGGAGCGCAGGGCTGGTAGGCTGCTTCAGGCCCAAGGAGAGCTTCAGCTGCGCCATGGCTGCCGCTTGGGCCGGATGCTGTACCTCCTTCTTGCAGGATCTGAGAGAAAATCCTGTCTGGAGACGGATTGTTCTGCCCAGGATGGGTGGAATTCAGGGCCTGACAACAGTCCCCCAGTGGAGGACCACATCACCCTCAGACAGCAGGTGGAGCCTGTCCTGAGACCTGCCTAGTGCACTGAGGGGGTGCACCTGAGCCCACCCCACCTGACCTCCCAATAGTCCCTCAAGCAGGGTCTGACCCCAGCATGCACCCCCTCTCCCCTTGCACCCCGCTGCCCACCCTGCCTGCCCCGGCTTCCCTCCATCTATCCCTGCAGCCCATAGACTGCGATCATCTTCACCTGCCACTCTGGCTCCTTCTTTTACCTTTGTCCTGTCAGAATTTTTTTTTGAGCAAGATCTCCAGGTCCATCTAAACACCTGCTTTTTCCATTTTCACTGGGCCGTTGGACACCACTGGGCCATCCCAGCTGTCCACAGGTCCTTTGATAACGTGCATTTCCCTCTGACCTCTCTCAGCAGTGCTCAGCAGCCTCATTTACCAGATCCCTGCTGACCAGATCCCCACACACTGGGGCCCTCCCCTGACCACACCCCCTCCCCACAGACCCCCACATCAGCTCCCTATAAACCAACCTCCCCGCTGCCAGAATCTAGCAATCACCAGGCCTCACCACCAGGACCTTGGCTGACCAGGCCTCAGTGACAAGGCCTCACTGACTTATGAACCCACTTATCAGGCTCTACCAATCAAAGTTTTCCACAGACGATCAAAAAAAGTGACCTCTTTGCCTGCCCCCACAGATGAAGGTCCACTGACCAGTACTCCAGGGAATAGGTTGCCAGTTAATGGTGGCCTCACTAATCCTCAGCCTCCCCAGGCCCCTACTAACCAGGCCTGAGGTGACCAGATGTCTTTGACCAGGAACCCAGTGGGTAGGCCCCACTGAACAGGCACACACTGCTCAGATCCCCGCTGACCAGGTCACCCCGTAGTCCGAGGCTACAAAAGTCACCACTGATCAAGACCTCTCTGACCAGGCCCCGACTGATTAGGTTCCACTGACCAGGCTGCCCTGACCAGGGACTCACTGACAAGAGCCTCTGCTGTTTAAGTCCCATGTGACCAGGCTTCCACTGAATAGCACCCCTTGACCTGGTCACCAGTGACCCAGATCACACTGACAAGGCCACCACTAAGCCCCAGCTGACCAGGTCTCCACTGACCAAGCCCCGCAGCCCAGCTTTGCACTGACCAGACACCAAACATTTGTCTGCCAGTAGGTCCCCACTCACCAAGACCCCCACTCCTAGATCCCCTGAGACCCACTCTAAGCAGACCCCTGCTGACCACGCCCCCACTAAGTACGCCTCACTGACCAAGTCCTAACTGACTAGCTCCACTGAGCAGGCCCACACTGATCAGGCCCCTTCTAACCACCCCAGAAGGCAAGCGGCAATGAGATGTTTCATATGTCGGGGTAGGAGCAAGATGGAGAGAGGAAGGAGGTGCCACATCCTGTTATACAACCAGATCTCATGAGAACTCACATCAGGAGATCAGCATCAAGAAGGTTAACCATTGGTGAAGGAACCACCCACACCACCGCCCACTGTTTCCAGTCAGAAACCTCCTGCAGAGGCAGAGCCTCTTAGGAAACTTCCACTATGGCAGTGCAGAAGGAAAATATAGGCTTGGAGCCCCCACACAGGAGGCCACCATCCTCCAGAATCCAGATTCACAAGCCACCAACAGCTCACACCCTCAGTAATGGAAAAGGTACAGGCACTCCACACCAGCCGAACCCATGAGAGCAGCCATGGGGGCTGAAGCCTGCAAAGCCACAGGTGCACTGCCCTAGTAGAGGTTTCCCATGAGCCTCTGCCTCTGCAGCAGGTTACTCCCCCTTCCTACTACCCTCCACCTTCCCACCACCCTACTCACGACCTACACCTCCCACCCTACCCCTCCTTTTCCTTCCACCCTAATCCCTTCTCGTCCAATATTAAATCACCTCCCACCTGGCCCCACCTCCAACATTCAGGATTCCAATTCCACATTAGTGTCATAGGGGCACACAGCCATCCCATATAATTCCGACCCTGATACCCCAGAACCTCATGTCATTAGCACAGAGCAAAACACAATCATACCTTTTCTAAAAGTTTCCAAAAGTCTTAACTCATTCCGAATGTAAACATGTCCAAGTCTCATCTGAGACAAGGCTACAGGCCCTTCTGGCTATGAGTCCCTGAATTTAAAAGGGATTTCTTTTCTTTCAAGGTACGATGATGGGACGGGCGTCGGGTAAGGTTTCACAATCCACAGGGAAGAAATTCCCCAGAAAAATAACACAAATGTGAGTGCAAAACCCAGCAGGTCCTGGCTAACACGGTGAAACCCCGTCTCTACTAAAAAATACAAAAAACTAGCCGGGCGAGGTGGCGGGCGCCTGTAGCCCCAGCTACTCGGGAGGCTGAGGAAGGAGAGTTGTGTAAACCCGGGAGGCGGAGCTTGCAGTGAGCTGAGATCCGGCCACTGCACTCTAGCCTGGGCGACAGAGCGAGACTCCGTCTCCAAGAAAAAACAAAACCAAAAACAAAAACCAGCAGGACACTATGCACTCAATCTTTCAGTTCAATAATCACCAAGAGAACTCACTATCATGCAGACAGCATTAAGGAGAGAGCGTTTAACCATTTGTGAAGATTCCGCCGCCCATCCTAGTCTTTCACGCCCACAAAATAACCTCCCCCATCCTCTCCATGCCCCTACCTCCACCCCCCCACTCTTCTCCATGATTATATCACCTCCTACCAGGCCCCTCTTTAACATTCCCCATTACAATTCCACAAGAGTATTGGTAGAGACACAGGGCCAAATCATATTATTCTGACCCGGGTGCCCCCAAATCTCATATCCTTGTCACACTGAAAAATACAGTGATGCCTGCTCTACAGTCCCCTAAAGTCTTAACTCATTCCAGAATTTACTGAAATGTCCAAAGCCCAAAGTCTCATCTGAGACAAGGCTGCAGTCCCTTCTGCCTCTGAGTTTCTGAAATACAAAGCAAGTTAACAACTTCCAAGGTATAATGATTGTACAGGCACTGGAGAAGCATTCCCAGGCAAAAGGAAAAACGATTGCCAGAAAACAACACAAAACACAGATGGGACTTACAGATCCCATGCAAGTCAAAAACCCAGCAGGCCAGTCATTGAATCCTACAGCTCCAAACCATCTTTTCTGAATTTACATGCCACATCTAGAGCACAGGGGTGTGATGGCTGGGCTCCCAAGGCCTTGGGCAGCTCAGCATCTGTGGCTGTGCAGGGTCTGTCTCCTACAGCTGCCCTCATGGGTGGGGCTGGTGTTGAGTGCCTGTGGCTTTTCCACACTGAGGGTGCAAGCAGTTGGTGGGACTATGAATCTGGGGTCTGGAAAGTGGTGCATATAGGCTGCAGGTTGTGAGGCGTTTGATTGGGTTTAATAGGGTAGGAATGTTTTCATTGATGTTAATTAGTGTGGGGAAGTGGGGTTGTGGGGGCTTCAACCCCATATGTTCCTTCTGTACTGCCCTAGTAAAGGTTTCCCATGAGGCTCTGCCTCTTGGAAAAGCTTCTGCCTGGACACCCAAGTTTTTCCGTACATACTCTGGAGTCTATTAGAAGCCTCC